TTCGTGTTTTGTTTAAAGACATTGCCGCAATTTTTACAATGTAATTCAAGTAACAGGTTATTATGCGGTCGAAGTATATATATATGGGGTTTCTCGTTGTTTCCAAAACCGCACGGTAATTTCAGCAGTTGCGAGAGAAGAAAAAAGTCGAGGTTTTCAACTGCAAATCGCCACTTTTCCTGCAATCACTAATAGCTGCGTTTAACTGTTTCATATCTAATTATAAGTTACATTACATGCGAATGTTTATGTGGTGAATTTATAAATTTATATTATTTACAGTTTCCTTAAAATTACATCACTTGTTATGTTTCTATTTGTGTATAACTTAAAGTTATATAATTTGACATTTGACGTAAATGGTTAATTAATTAACGTCAACAAGGTTTTGACGTTTTCGAGAAATGTCATGTCTAGACGAAATCTTTTATTCTCGTCATTTACAAATGATTACAATAACTTCGAAATCAATATTTTATGTTTCTGTTTATAATTGTATAATACAATGCATGTTTGTTATATATTATTAGAGTTATTAAGTAATTTAAGAGTTTTACAATTTTGACATTGCCATTGACTGTTGACACAATCAACGTTTGCTGTTAATTTTAATTTTGTAATAGAGTTGAAAAGAAGAAATAACAAACGTTCGCAGTTTAAAAAAACAGAAAAATTATGACGGAGCGGGATCGTTTGATTGCTTAATGGAATTTTTCCGTTTCGCGTGTCCATGTGTGTTTAACCTTGCGTCGGACGAAGTGGATGATAAATGATGAAGCGGACACTCGATATGCCTGCGCCTCTCTTCCGGATGGTAAGTATTCTTCGGTTTCTGCAAGAATACAATACACCTCCGGACCGTGGGAATGGTGAAGATTGTATCGAAATGTGAATTCAATCTTCGAATTGCGTTAATGTAATTTCGTATAGTTGATATTTATATAGTGGTGTACTGGAGGATGGAAATAGTTGGTGGCTGCATTCATCCAGAGTCCAAGATAACAATGATGCAACTTCCGTGATGGTGATAAGAGGGGCATCGCCATCCGCCGGGTGAAGAGGAGGTGGAGGAGGAGACGAAGGAGATTTCGAAAAGAAAGAACGAAAGAAAAAACGGGCCTGGCCTCGATCTCTATGTATTAATTAATGCTTAGAGTAAAGTCTGAGAAGTGGAACAACACGGAATGGAGCGTTTCGCCGTTACTTTGTGTGTGTGTCTGTATAATATTCGATGAAATGCATGCATTCCTTCGGTGTCGCCCCACCAAAACGATCAACACAGAAAAAGAGACACTCTTGTTGCGTTCTCTCGTTGTGCAGGTAGAAAAAAGAAAATGTATCCATCACCCTAAAAACGAATTTAAGATATTTACCCATTTTTTTTTCTTTGAAGAAGAAGAAGTCTACCAGAAGAAGAGGGTTCTGTCACCAGGAAGTGTTGGTCTCTCTTTCCTTTTTCGGTGTATCCAAATCAATATAGGTGGCACACACTAAATTTACAACATTCCATCTAAATCTATAAATAAGTATCACATAGGGGGGATGGAGATTATTCCGGTCCGAAAAGTTGGGGGGATGATGAGGTTAGATCACTCTTTGGGCAGATTCACATTTACAGCGCACAAACGGCACCCCGGGGGGAGCGAAAGACACACTCACACGCAACACAAATATCCACCAGAGGAGGAGTGTAGGATCAGCAGCAGCAACAACGACGGTGCGTGTGCATCGGGGGGGCTTCTACCATACCACGGCGTAACAATCAGGTATGCCTTGGTTGCTGTTAGCTACAACACAGCGCTCTGTCATCGAAGGAGGAGAGAAAGTAACGACGCCGCTGCAATATGCATGTGGTTGAGCTACGGTCGTCGCAAACACAATAATTCACAACAACAACAACAACAATAATAACAGCAGCAAGGAAGGATTCAAATGTCAACGTTGATCCTTCTTCAACCAAAAACTGTTCTAACTATACTACCACCATCAACTGCACCACGCACGACCATGAAGAACAACACACACAACACAACAACATCCAGATGAATGCGTGTTTCTGCAGAGACAGATACAGCGAGTGTCCGTATAAGAGATAGAGAGAGAAAACGTTGTAGAGTGTGTATATGTATATATTTAAATTAAAAAAAACGACGGACGACCCGACGTGCGCGTTTCACCAGGCGACTGTCAGGGGGTTCGCCGCTCGACTCCGGTTTTTTTTCGGCGTGGTGGGGAGGCGGCGAAGACCGCAGCGCCTCCGTCGAGGAATGCCGAAAGCTCTTCAGCGCTCCTTTCGAATTCCGCGCGTCTCCAACGCTCACCAATAGCAGACAACTCTTCGCCAAACCTCCACGACCATTGGTCAATCCACGTTTCGTTTCTTAAGAGGAATTTTCAATTTAAACTCATTGAGCTAATTGATGCCTATGCCTTCGAAGAATGAGCCACTTTATTACAGTTGTTGTATTATCATAATGCCGACCAATTACCCCTTTTGGTAAACATCAATCGAGAAGAATTGAAGATTAGCTTTAAATGACTTATACGTAGATCTTTTAAACTAGATTTTCAAACCTATTTTCTATCACTAAAACCACAGTAATCATCTTCATTTTCTTATAAAACTATACAGAAATAAATAATTATTAACATAGTTTTAATGTTTCAAAGGTAATAATTGTGCAAAGTCAGTATCTAATTATTTCTAATACTTATTCAAAATCGTGTACTTTCTCATTTGAATAATTATTAATTTAAACTACTAATTTTCTTCTATTTAATGTAATTAAGAAAATAAATTTCCTATACACTTGTTATTAACTTCACATCGTTAAAAATATGATTAAATATTGATAAAACTGTTATCAAATTTGTTTGCACAGATCAATAATAAATTTGTTATTTAATTCAATTAATTTCATTCTCAATCAAATTGGAATCATTAAAATGTTGTTGCTATGTAAACATATTTGTTAAACAGTATGAACAAATGAAGAATTTCTAAAGAAAATCATTAAATATTTGAAGGCTATGAAATTTTTAAAATAGTTAAAAATTGATTTTTTTTGTAATTTAATCAATGTTGTAAATTATTTTAATTAAAATTATTAGCATTTTATTTGTATTTAATTTGTGAAAGTTAACGTTACTTTTCCTACTACGCACACGAGGATGCAGCTCAGATTCTCGCATACATTTGCTGAGCCAATTAACGTTTTTTTTTTTGTTGTTGTTTTCGAACTCATTTTCACACTTCTTGCCTTATTTATTGTTATTATCGTTGTAGTTATTATTAATATTAATATATTCCGTCGTTGACTAATCGCTGCTCTTTGCATACGTTCACACAAGCATACAAACATGAACTGATTTTCAAGCAAAAACGGAAAGGAAATGAAAGGAAATCGAAAGTATCCTTGATTGCACACTCCAATTCGAGTCAATTCAATCAGCCTCCTCCTTCTTCGTCCTTAATTTTCCCCTCGATGAATATACATGCATGAAGTCTAAACTAATTCGCATGTTCTCAATCGTATTCCAGTTGACTAATCAATTGATTCGAACGTAACAACGCTTCTGACAGCTTTTTAATTAATCTCAAACACTAAATTTAGATTGTTATGCAGAGAATGAAATTCGTTTACGAAATTTTCTGTGACAACGTAAGAATATTGCAAACAAAGTTCTCATTATTTACACTTTGGCAATCCCTAATTATCTGCAATTACATAAACGCACCAATTACATAAATCGGTCTCAGTGTAAAATTACTGTAAACTTATAATTAAGAAACTTAAATTGTTTTAAAATTATTATTTTAAATTGATTCGTTTGTCTTTCGTGTCGAGGCACGTGTTTTTTTTTATCAAAAAATAAAATAAATTAAAGAAAGTCAAGGATCCAAGCGTGCATTGATAATTATAAACAGCACGTGTAATTAAGACGTGAGTGCGTGTAACAATAATAATAACGAATCGAAACTTTCCGTCGAAAATGGAATTGCGCAACGAAATATGTTTACCGTGGATTGTACGAAAAATTAACTGCTGTTATTGAATATTTGACATTCAAACGTTAACATTTTTTTAAATTGATCAGGATTAAAACAAAAGAATACCGAGCAAAACAAAGAAAAAAAAATAACAATAACAGGAGCGCAGCAAATATTAACATACTCGTGTCGAATACATTATTATAATTATGTTTTTTTCATTCGTTGTTATTCGAGAATTTCGGTGTAATCAGTGGCAGATTCAAATATGATGTAATGAAAAATCACATGTTAGTGATTCTTTCAGAAAGTATAATAGATAGAACAGATCCATTTGGATCGTGGATGTATGAGGAATGTAACGTGTATTCTATTATTGTTGTTATTTTATCCATTTGGTTGTGATTAAGTAATAAAGGAATTGGATGTAGGAAACTTTTTGCGTTAGGATGGATCCAAATGTTTGCGCTTTGGAATGAAGGTTGGGCGTGATTTTCTTGATGGAATTTGCGGAGCGAAAGAAGTGAACGTGGAAAAATCGAGGAGTTTCGATGCGAAAACCGAAGGCCAAGTCCGTGGCAGGAAGAGAGAAAAATAGAGAGAGAGAGAGACCAACATCAAATTACAGTGCAATTTCGTATCTCTTATATAACCGATTCTTATTAAGATCAATTATTTCACAGCCGCGTTGTAATTGTGTATATAATGAACGAGGGAACAAGAAAAAAAAAGAAGGAATGATTCAGAAAGATTTAAAAAAAAAATCGTTATAAGCAGAATCGAAATTTTCTTATAAAAAAAAATATAAGAAACTATTAATAATATATTTCCTCTTGTTTTATTGATGCATGTTAGAGGATTTCCAGGTTCAAAAGGGATTATGATAATCCAGGCGTTTTTTTTTTTCGTCGATCCATACGTGTACATAAAATAAATATTTATGGTTATTGGATTTCCTTGTCGATGGAAAGTGTAAATAAAAGAACGTGGCGCGTTGCTATGGGGGACGTGGCCTTTTCGCAACAACAACAACGACAACAACAACAAAAAACAAATGATCGTCGACCTCTTTTGTTTCCAAAAATAGACCTACCTTGATCTCGGAAGGAACATGGACCCATCTATGAACACGGAACCGGACAGAAGGATGTACCAGCATGTCGAGAGTTCGCCGGTGCTGCGAAAATAGCAAACAAAATAAAAAATTAAACAATGAATGGACGTGTTTGGAATTGCGGTATTATAGTGGTGCGAATGCAAGAGCAAGAGTCGTCGTTTTCATTTCATCTTGTTGTTTTTTTTCTCTTTATTGTTTCTTTTGAAAAGCCCAGAGAAGAGGCAATCTCGGACGTTGAAAGAGAGCGAAGATTGCCTCGCCAGGTGCAATTACGAATTAGTTCCTGGTCGTGCCTTTACAAAACTACACATCACGGTAGTAGTAGTGTATAGTGAGCTTCTCTCTCTCTTCTTTTCACATCTCTTGAACGCACTCGGAGTCAAGTTTATTTGGCCAAAAGGAGGAGACGACGAGAGCGCTCGGAAACTGGTTTTTAAATGATAGCTCTTCCATCGTCTTTGTTGCCTCTTCCAAAGGCGCAGCGAAGCGCCTCTCAACAATAAATTTATAAAAAAAAAATATACACGAATCTATACAAGACAGAGAAAAAAAGTCCGATTCATTCCGATAATTACATAATTTCGGTTGCGCGAATCTCAAACGTTGTATAATTCGTTTCGTCATCCGCGTCCTTATTTTTTCTTTCTTCTTCCCGGTTCCCAAGCACAAAGAAATACGAGCATTAGATGGAGTAATCCGATAGTGAATGACAAACAAGAACAAGATAGTATACAAAAAAAAACTTCCCAGATTCTTATGCGTTTTCGGACTTTAGATTTCAATCTCGTAATAGGAATTGTAACTTCAGATAAGTGGAGTCTCTATGATACTTTAAACCTTGAAAACACGTAACGACTTTGGTTTCTTTAAATGAGAGAAAATGTAAAAAAAAAACAACAACATTATTATAGTCTGTGAATGTAGAAATATGAGTTTATTTTACATATGTAATTTTTCTTTTTATTTTCTTGGCTACATAAATAAACATATATTTCTTGAAAATCTTTGTTTTTGCTTTTATACACTTTAAAACCTTTATTTAAATGACTCAATTTTACTTTAAAGAATCCAATCATGTTTAATAATAAAAAAGATATTAATACTGGTTTATTTTAAACAAATGATAAAGAATACATATTATAACAAATTATAATTTGTATAGTGAAAAATGTGCATTATATAAGTTAATCCATTAATAATGATTCAATAAATAATTAAAAAGAAATTACAAATTTAATTTGGTTAGTGAAACATTGAAATAATATTATTTTAATGTAATGCACTAAATTGATAATGTTATAATTAAAAAATGAATTATTAAAGCTTATTAATGTAAAGTAAATAGTTAATTGTGTGTCTTTAATTGTTAATTTTTTTAAAGCAAAGATTAAAGTATAATTGGTTGCATATAATGAATTACGACGTTTCATTATAAATCATAATAGTTTACTAAAATTAGTGAAAAATTTATTATTATGATTTATTTATTATTATAAGTGCTTTATTAAGTATTAACTTTAAAAAGTTGTTAAGAAATCATTTAAATACATTCAAATTGCATTAAGAAAATATTGAACCCGGCGCATCCACCGTTTATAGTATATATCTGGTTGCCTATATTGCTATATCTTTTGAAAACATTTTACTATAAGGAGGCGATATTAGAAAATAAAGATGATTAGGAAAAGATTATCCATTTATATGTAATAAATAGATTATGCTTAAGAAAATAATAGGAGTTATTTCTCAAATCTTCATTATTGTTGTTATTGTCTTTTCTTGCATTGCATTAATAAATAAGTAAATTTTGTTAATTAGTTTGTTGTTTGTTATACTTACTAATAAAGGACATCGTTCGCCTGGTGCTTCTCGTACCGGACGATGTGACAGAGGGCGCGCAGTGCCGAATCTCTGAGCGTCTGCAGCGCCTCCAATCCGCTGAGTCCGTAGTAGATGACCTGAAGGTCCTCGAGGGATCTGCAGTGCGGCGGCCGGCCCAGCGACCTAATCAACATCTGGTCCCAATCAGCCATGCCGCCGCATGATGGCGTCACTATCGCACTTTCACGCATCCAAGCAGGCGGCGGCAAAGTTCATCTCTCGAATCAAGAAAATATGCATCACCGTGGAAACATCCAAAAACACTTCACTATATCATTTTCGTTGAAGTCCAATGAAAGTTCCATAAACAATCTAAAACAATAATAAAAATAACATTAATTAATACACATTTATAATAAGCGATTGCATATTTTATTATTTTCCTCAATAAGTTTGAAAGATGATAACAATATTAGTTAGTTTAGATCAAATTAAGACTAAGATTAGTTTAGAAAAATCATTGTTTTCATGGAAATTCGTATAAATATTCTCCAAAAAGTAGTGTTTTTACATTTCAGCGTATTTCCTAAAAACTGTAAGGAATATTGAATTTACTAATTATAGCTAAGACTATAGAAATTCAAATAAATACAAACGCTTAAGACTTTCAGAATTGACATGCACACTGCTGCACTCCGTCCTGAATTCTGTAGAAAACTCGAAAAATTCGAACGTTCTCCGAGCGAACAGTGTTTGAGGTCGAGGTTTGAGGTTGATGAAGTGGAAATGCGTAACATTGACCTAAACCTAAATCCCAAAGCAGTGGACGAGCGGATTATTCTTACGAGAAGAACGAAGAAGGAATCTCTCTCTGATGGCTTTAATTGAGTTCTGTTAATTGGTCTCAGCTAATTTTAGTTCTCCGCACCGATTCTGCTGCCCGGAGGCCTCCTAGTATATAGCACGTTGGTGTAGTAGGAAGTCGACAACAGTATTTCTAACTTGAAAACGATCGTAGTTGTTTCATTCGTAACCTTCTTATAAGCGTTCCTCCAAATTGTAATTTGACTAAGTATATCGAACAGAATAAAGATCGCAGTCTCATTTGAATAACAAATGCGAAAACAAAAAGGAAAACTTGTTGCGTGGACAAAGGCCAAGTTTGGGAGATGTTTGTAAATTTTGAACTTCATAAATCACGATTGTGACACAATTTTTTTGAATCCAAGTAAAACTTACATTTCGAATTAAATAAGTTTTGAGATAATCGACGTAATTACTAATAGTTTTGTTATTATCTGTTACGATCTTTGCATTCGAAATCTGAATATGCAAATGCGAATTATTAATGAATACGTTTGATCTTATCGTTTCAATGGAGTCTCTCTTTCTCGCCTTTCGTATCTCTCGACTCGACTGTTAATAGTTTAAAAGGCGTTTCGCCTTGCAAAGAAACCCAGTTGGATTTTTTTCCGAATAGCGAAGGTTGCTACTTCAGCAGTAAACACGTATAAATCAGCGCCGTAGAATCAATTAAAGTCGCTCAATTCTTAAGAATCGTAATGAGGATTTTGTCTTACTTTGAAAATGACCGAATAAAGATTTGTTGTTCGATTATTGGACATTGGCCTCGTTAACTCTTTACCGTTTTGTGATTATTTCCATCATCATCATCATCATCATTAGAGAGAAGTAAAACATGTTTTGGTGTGGATGCGAACAGTGTGTAATTACACCT